TTTGTTTCTCTAGATTTATGATTTAACAGTGAGAAATTTGGAGTGATTTCTTTGTTTTCAAGCTCACGGTTGCTTTGCATGGCTGTGAAACTTTGATTCTTTTCCTTTCTGTGTTTTGTTCAGAAAGAAGCTTAGGCATCTTCTCGATAACTGTTCTTGCTGGTACTTGTAGTGGCTTTTAGAAGCACAGATTAGGTTTTCTCTAGGAAAAGGAAAAAGAAAGAGTACTTGGCGAGTACTTGAGGGGTTTGGTGTCCTTTTCAATAACATATTGAAGCAGATATTTTCCTCATGCAGTGTTTGCTTGTTGCATTAATTTTGTTTACTTTTTTAACGTTTTCATTGATTATTACATAATAAACCATCAAATTTGTTTTGAAATTATAGCTTGACATGAATTTTCTTTTCTGTGATAGTTGCTAGGTGTCAATCAGAAGCAGAGGCAGATGTTGGAGAAGCTGTTGAAGGAGGTGATCTCGGGATTGTTGGTGAGGATGTTCAGGATTTTGGTGATTCCAATTTTGGTCCAGCTCCAGGAGTTGAAACTGTCTGTGTTTTCCCAAAAATAGCGCCAAATGTAAGAACCTTTTGATGGTGCATCCGGATTTTGCATTGTATGATTTTGAGGCTGATCTGTATTTTTGTTGGATAATCTTGGACAGTGGTTCTGGCTGGAGAAGAGACTGAGCTCCTCGTGGGGATGGAAAATGTTGGTAATTAATATATCTTCACTTCCTTAGTGATACATTTTACAATGAAATTTGATATCACGGTATTGAAATAATAACATATAATTTATCTTTCCTTAGTTAACTATGTTTAAATGCTTAGTCTTTTCCGTTAGCCATTTGAGGTTTCCTTCCTCTTAGCTTACTTATTTAAATTGCAGGGGAGTCACCTGTGAATGTCATTGCTATCAAAGCCAGTGTTCATTTCTCTTTTGATCATCGTATGCTTGTTCAAAATCTTACAGTGCAGGTAATCATAGAGTTTATTTATATTGTTCTGCTTAACATTTTCAGATACTTTTGATTCATCAATTAGTTCAGTTTCATTTCGATTAATCTCTGTTATTTCCTAACTTGAAAACTTTGCATGATTGAGTATCTTGACCTTTAGTTTTATAAATAAAATTGATATTCAATCAGTCTGTTTATAATACAATTAACCATTCATTGAGTTTGATCTTCTATTCTAGATCATGTTCATATTTGCCATGCATGTTCTTGTGTTCATATGACATCTTATTGGTTGCTTTAAATATCCATTGTGAAACATCTGATCAATGATATGAGTTCTATGCATTGTGAATCTTAGTTTGTGTTTCACTTGCAACTGCATACCTACTCTAATCAACTATAACTATTATAGTGGAGTGAGTTATTTTAGCCAGTGTTCTCTAATATTATGGATGGATGTTAAACTGCATTGAGGAGTTGTATCGCATTTAATAAACATTAGCTTGTAAGTGTAGACCTTACAATGATGCTGAGATGTATGAGATTGAGCATGTTCCATGTACATACAATTTAGGCCTCCGTGCTCTAATTGGTCATTATGCAATTATTATTCTGTGCCGGTGCTTTTGATTATTCTGTGTTCTAAGTGTTTTCTTTTGGTACTTTATAATCAAATGTTTCCTGCTTTATTTGAAAAAGATTTTAAGGTTCTCTTCTGGTACAAAGTTTATCATGCACCTCACCATTTTGGAGTTTTACAACACGTGTTGTTCCATGAAAGCTGCCTTGCAACGTTTCCTCGTAGATTCTGTAACTGAATTATGTCTTTTTAATGTAGACCTTCAACAATGCAACTGTACCCCCTTCAGTGCAAGCTTCTTTCCCTTACATATTTGCTGTTAGCAAGTACCTACAGGTAATAGATTACACTGGGAGTTTTATGCCCTAAAACTGTATTTAAATTCTTTCCATGAGAAGCAGTCTTACAGTGAAGCTTACACTTTTAGAATTTTGATGCAGTCTGGAACTTTCGATCTTGTTGGTACAATTATCTATGAAATCGATCAGCAGCCATTCCAAAGTACATTCTTTAACAGTACCATTGAAGTTGCTGAAGCTGGTGGTTTCCTCAGCGTTGAGTCCGTTTTTCTTGTTACCCTTGGGATTGCACTACTTGTTCTCCTTGGTTTGTGGCTTCACGGTCAATTTCAGCGCATCACCAAGGTATTCTAGTGGTGCCACCTTCGGTTATATATTAATTTACTGCAGTAACTGTGTACAACAATATAGTATCGTGCCATTTTTTGTTCTTACATCGAAGAGAGCTTGTGTTTATATATACTTGTTATCTTACGTTTCTTTTGTGGAATAAAGCTAATGTGTGGCTTCTTTATTTCGCTAGAAAACTAAGAGGGCTCCGAAGGTGGAAGTCGGGACTAGGGCTGCCGATGCCTCGATGGAGGAATGGCTTCAGGTTATGATTTGGCTTATGCATCATCACTTGCCATTTTTTCGATTTTAGTTAGCTTTACTTTTCTTCTCACTCCTTTCATCCCAGATTCATTAGAGACTTCATTAACCGTCGGTGATAATTTCATTTTTCGTGTTTCGGGTGTCAATTTTCAGGGAACCGCTTTCACCCAATCGGCTTCCAAATCAAAGAAGAAGAAGTAGATGACGGAGTATTGTAACACTTGCCAAGGCATTTGGAAATTGTAAGTGGGTTTCAAGGATTAGGCCAGGAAAATAGACGCTTACCTTTGTTGTTGTAGCACGTGGGATTCCTTTTCTTCTACGTCGTTATTTTCTCGAGTATGCTTACATTGAGTCTTTTAGAGGCAAATCTAACTCCGATACGACGCAGAAAGACTAATTTGGCTTCTTTTTTTGGTTTCTTTGTTCGGATTTACGATACTATGACCCTTATTCTAAATTGATCTCATACTTTAAAACATTTTGATATCATCACCAAATTATCAGTATATGTTAATCATATTCCTTAATAAAACGTTCCGGTTGAATCAATTTTTGTTACCTGTTCATAAAGTTGCAAAGTCAAAACCTTTGAATTCAGCTTCAGAAGTAAGCAGCAGCTGCTTTTCAAAAAGTGTGGCGGAGAACAAGGTGCCTCTCTCTTTACCTGAACAGAATCAAAACTAAATTTAGATAAATCATATATTTAGTATATTTAGTGACTCGCTTATTCTTGCAATTTCGTTTTAATCATTTAATCATTTTTGAAGTCACTCAATTATTTTTTAGAGATCGTTATATTTTAATTTTGTTTTGATCATTCGTAGATAGAAAGTAAACATAACTATTTATGTGGTAATTTTTTTTTACGATGATGTGATAATGTTTTACGATAATACATTAGTATTATTATTAATTTTTTAATAGTAATTGATCAAAACAAAAACAAAATATAATATTATATATATTTTTGAGAAAATATTTAAAAAATATTAAAATAGATGAGTGACTAAATATATATTTTATCCTTTAATTTAAGTTATCAAATAATGATTATCAAAATTATATTTATCCTTTAATTTAAGTTATCAAATAATGATTATCAACATTGAATGGAATAGATTAATTAAATTAAAAAATAATTAAATAAGAAATAAAAATTATGCAAATTGTTAAAAAACAAAAATTAATTAAAAATCAATGGTTTATTTGATTGGATTGTTTTTTAGTTTTTAACGATTCTTTTTAGGTAAATTTTTAGATAATGTGTTGGAATTTTTTTATTAGCTCGAATAATGGTCAGATAGAATTATTTTCTGAAATAGTGTATTTGTTACAGTACAATTTAAGACGCATGAAGTATAATGTCACTCTAATATAAATTTGGGGGAGATGCATGAAGTACAATGCATCTCTCATATTTTTTGTTTCTTTTTCATAATTTGATTTTTTATTTAAGGTTTAGGGTTTAGATTTAGGATATAAAGTTTAGAATTTAGGTTTATAGTGTAGGTATGATTTAGGGGTTATAGTTTAGGATTTAAGATTTGAATTTAATTTTAACTATTATTATAAAAAATTTAAAAAAAAATTGGAGCACAATGCTGTAAAACCTAAGAAATTAGGTTTAATTCATGCAAATCGGAGCACCATGCGTACCCATGCGTTTTGCATGGGTAACACATGATATTCACTTTATTCGAGTAAATAATTATGTTCCAACATTATTTGAAGATTCTTTTATTATTAAGTTTTTTTTTATTTCATTAGTATCATCAATTAAATTAAAAATTAATGATCAGATTAATTTGACCACTTATCAAATTCTTACAGTATTATAACATACCACCTTTTTCGGATTTGAATGAATATATTTATTTGCATAAAATTAAATATATTTTTAAATCAATTAAAATCAGTTTAACATTAATAAAACAACTAAGTTAAACATATTTTTATGTTCAGTTTGTTATATAGACCATTTATATAACTTAATAAAAATAAAGGAGTAGAAATTAAACTGTTCGTAAATTTCTTATCAAACGTTTATTTTATTTACATTAATAATAGGTTTATAAAATATATTAAAAAAACATCATGCTTTTTAATCAATTATCAAAACGTTTAATTCATTTACATTAATAATATTTTTTACAATATATTAAAAGATTGCGTGTTTTTCTAAGTTATCCTTTAAAAAATAAATAAAAACAGAATCACATTTCATCACCTTATAAACTATTGGATAAATACATATTTTAGTGCGTTTTTTTATTAAGTTGCTGCAACTGTATGTGGTCGAATCCGTAATTTATAAGAACAATAATGATTATTTTTCGTGCATATATTTTAGTACTTAAAATCAAGTTTAAAATTTAATTTGTATTTGAAGTTTTCTTTTAGTAGTTTTTAAATTTAAATTCAGATATCAAATTGAACTTTAACAGTAAGTTCAGGTACCAAAATATATATATATATATATATATATCATTTTCCACCGTCAGATATAATCCCGTCGTCTTCCCATATAAAAACACCCTTAGCTCTTAATTTTGCTGCCAAACGCATTTCCCCAACCTAAAACGCAAGCTTCGAAACAGCGCCAAAACATCCCTCATGGCGGCAACTGTCTCTTCTCCTTGGGGTAAACCCGGCGCGTGGGCTCTAGACGCGGAAGAGCACGAATCTGAGCTCGAACAGCAACGTCACTCCGATTCTTCCACCGAAAAGCTGGCCGATTTCCCTTCTTTAGCCGCCGCCGCCACCACTAAGGCCAAGAAAAAGAAGGGTCAAACCGTATCCCTCGCTGAATTTACCAATGGCTTGGCCAAGCCGAGCGAGCCTACACGCCTCACTCACGAGGAGGTCCTCGCGCTCCCCACCGGCCCCCGCCAACGTGCCCCCGAGGAACTGGATCGTAATCGGCTCGGCGGCGGGTTTAAATCGTACGGTTCGAGCAGATACAGTAATTCCAACGGAGACGATTCGTCGAGTAATAGTAGATGGGGATCTTCTAGGGTTTCGAACAGAGATTCCAATAGAGAAATTACTCCTTCACGCGCTGATGAGATTGATAATTGGGCGTCAGTTAAGAAATCGAGCCCCACCGTTAATGGATTTGGCGGTGGATTTGAGAGGAGAGAGAGAGGAAGCGGCGGAGGAGGGTTTTTCGATTCGCAATCCAAAGTTGATGAGGTAGATAACTGGGCCGCTAGTAAGAGTAATAATAGAAGCCCCAATGGTGCACCGCCGCCTAGGAGATTTGGTGCGGGTTTTGATAGAAGCAGCAGTTTTGATTCACTGCAATCGAGGGATTCACCTAGGGATTTGGATAATTGGGGAAAGAAAAAGGAGCAGGCTGGCAGTGGTGCTGCTGGTAGTGGTGGGGCGAGGCCAAAGCTTGTTCTTCAGCCACGTACAGTTCCCGTGACGGAGGACTCGACGGTGCCCAAGCCCAAAGGCGCAAATCCTTTCGGTGAGGCGAGACCGAGAGAGGAGGTATTGAAGGGAAAGGGGAAAGACTGGAAGGAGATTGATGAGAAGCTTGAAGCTATGAAGATCAAAGAAGCGGTCACTGTAACGGAGAAAGAGAGAGAACGAAAGACAAGCTTCGTTAATGGCCATGCCCCGGCTGACAAGAGCTGGAGGAAGAGTGAACCTGTTGAAGCTGCAGCTGATGCTGATCAACCCCAAAGGTTTCTTCAATTAACTGAAATTTGATTGCTTGGTTAATTTTAGAATATTACTTATATATATATATAACATGAACCTTGATGCCTTTTAAGAATCAGAGTAGAAGTAGTGTAATTGAATTTTTTTTGATGTAAGAATTGTGTTGGAACAGGTGTTTTCTTACCTATATAGCTGCATTTCAACAATATTTCTGGGAAATGATTATACTTTAACAAGCTAAAGAACAATTAAATAATCATGCATCTTTTTCATCTGTCTTCCTCGTCTTTCCTAGGTTTCACCTATATTTGATCATTTACATTTATCATAAGTCTTAAAAGTATGGAGAATGTTGTTCCTTTCAAGCGAAAGTCCCTTGAAAAAACAAAGTGAAGAGTTTGAGAACTTGTTGTTAGTTATATTTCTCAAAAGTAAATTCCCTTGTATATTGAAGAGTTTGAGAACTTCTTGGTAGTTATACTTGTCAAAATTCCCTTGTTATATGGAAGAGTTTAAGAACTTGCCTAAATTGATGAATCAGTAATAATTAACAAGTGATGGATTGTTTCGACCCCTTGAAAAAACAGGCCTGTTAGATCCCTTTTTGAGTTTTGCTCGAGTTTGAATTTGCTTTTGCGGTTTAATTGTGTCACATTAACATGTCATTGGACTCGTTGCTAACTCTGATATTTTTCCCTTCTGGAATCCAGTGCTGAGAATACGGAAAATGGCCATGTCGCAGAATCCAAAGCTTAAGGGTCCATAGGAAGTGAGAAGATGAGCTTTATTTGAACTGTTTTTTGGATGTCTAAGAGTTAGAATTGATGATGAGACTTTGATATTTATTGTTATTATTGCCAATGCAGTTAGAACAATTTTGATAGGGCCATGAATTGGTTGGCATTGGCTTTTGCTAAAGATGATCTTGTTTTCTATTGATAGTTGCCTTATGTTATTAGGGTTTTCATAGTATTTTTTTTATTGTTAAAGTCCTTTGTTTTCGTTCATATTTGTGACCGTGTTGAGATTATAATTGTTTGTATTGCTGACCAAATAAATCTATGTGTTTTCTTTTGGTTCTTGCATTAAATCTGCCTTTGAGCACCATCCGTGTGTTAGATTGGTTCACTGTAGATCTAGAAATATTTCTGATTGGATGTAGGGATGGCAACTCAACCCGAATCCGACGGGTTCCGACCCGACCCGATCGGGTCGGATTTTTTTTAAAAAAAAATCGGGTTCGGGTCGGGTCGGGTTTTTTTAAAATGTACTGTTCGGGTCGGGTTGGGTCGGGTTTAGGGTGAAAAAAATCCGACCCGACCCGAAAAATATATATAATTTTATCTTATATATTTAGGGATAATTACAATAATGTCCTTCCATATATAATTTTTTTTCAATTAAGTCACTATTTTCATTGAATAATTTTTTTTTATTATTATTTCGTGTCGGGTCGGGTTTCTAAGTCATATATTCGGGTCGGGTCAGGTGAAACCTTAATTTCGTCGGGTCGGGTCGGGTCACGGGTGAAAAACCCTTTCTTCTCGGGTCGGGTCGGGTGGCCCAAAAATCCGACCCGACCCGACCCATTGCCATCCCTAAGTGGATGCACATATACTAACAATACAACATTTTTGTACGTGGAATGTGTATAAATAAAGTTCTATGATGGCTACCATTAATAAAATAAGGATAAATTATATTATTTTTCATTGAACTTAACTCTCTCTTATTTTATTTATTGTACTTCTAATTTTTCTAATTTATTAATTAAATTTTCGAATTACTCTTGTTTTGATATTTTGAATTATTTATTATTATTTTTTGTATGATGTGACATTTTTCACTAAATATAAAAATTTTAAAATAGATAATAAAATAATATCTTTATTATTATTATTAAATTTAAAAAGATTTTAAGTAATTACCGATTACTGATGATCACTGTTAACCTTTAAAATTATTTTTAGGGTAATTACGTAAATAGTCACTTATGTTCGAGTAAGTTTTCTTTTTCAGCACTGATAATTAAGAAGTTATAAATCGGTCACTAACATTATCGTTTGTTACAAATTGATCATGGTCACTGATGTTTAAAAAGTTATAAATTGGTCATTAACATTACCGTTTGTTACAAATTGATCGTTTGACGTTAACAACTATTACAATGGATGACAGAAAAATGATGTGACACGTTAATTTATTTTTTAATATCATTTGATCGTATTAGACCATTTTGATTAACCCTTATTCTTTTTCAACTCAATCCTTTTTTTCCCCTTCAACCCACCCAAACTTGGATGCTAACGGTAAGCTTCTTCAAGGCTTCCACCTGGCTCGTCCAGGATTTATGAAGGGGATTGCGAGCGAAAGAACGAGTTATTGGGTCAGATCGAGAAAGTTGGTGGGTTGAACACTCACTTGGAATCCCTTGGCAATGGTGGGATCAACTTTGATTGTTTGGCTGAATTTTCTTTCGGCCTTCTTCTGCAACATTTTTAAAATAGTCAAAAGTTTTGTTTCCACTGACTTTGTTTCAGCCTTCATCAAGCCAGGCCATCGTGGGTGCTGAAGGGCTCAACCAAGTTCCATTTCCAAGCTCTCGATGCAACCAAAACCGGTTCACGACATTAATGGTGTTATGATCAAGAACTCCCAGAAGAGAACGAGGGCATCACAGAAAGCACCCATTGAAATCGACATTTTCGAGTTTTCTGTTAAGTACCTATATTTCTCCTTTGTTAATTAAATCATTTCTGTAAACTATTAAATTCGGTTGATCAACAAACACACTCAAACACGTAATTGCGAATAGCGTGAAATTGGGAGCTTTAGATTTTCTCATTAATACCCTCAAGCTTTTATTTTTGAACCTTTCTCTCTTTCTTTCTAATCAATAATGGAGGCCATGGCTGAAGAGAAGCCATCCTTGACTGTGCCTCTCATTGAAGCTGAAGAAAATAATAAAGTTTGGGAACAAAAGTAGAGGAGATAGAATCAAATTCATCTCACTCCATTTCAGCAACTAACTCTTTCTTCAAAACCTGTTTCAATGGACTTAATGCTCTCTCAGGCACGTTGAACAACAGTTTAACTTCCAGTTTTTGAACTTCTTTTGGCAGTTCTGATGTGTATTTTTTGTTACTGATTTCCAGGAGTTGGGATATTTAGAACCATGGTTCAAGAATTCACCATAACCCCACACCACCATTTTCGAGCTCGTCATTGTTTCCTCGAAGGAAACAACATCCTCATCTAACTCTAAAGATACGAATTCGGTAAAAACATCGACTCCGAAAGCAATTAAAATCGATATCACCCCGCCTTCATCGGATGGAAATGTCTAGTGTCGCGAATGAAGAAGAAGAAGAAATTAGGTTGAAGAAGAAGATGGGTCGGTCAAACTTGTTTATATAGTCAAATGATGCCAAAAAATCATATTAGCTAAAAATATAATAAATAAATAAAATAAAAAAATAAAATAGAAAGAAAAGTAAAATTCACTAAAATAATATATTATATCCATAAAATAAATATTTAATCGAAAAAATAATTTTATGAGTGGATGTTTGTCCATCTTGAATTCGACAGTTGTATCTTGATTGACATAGTTGTTAATTGTATCTTGTTTGTATTGTCACGCCCTTGGAACTTTAACGCCTAGAACGTGCGGCATTAGTCGTTTTCTTTGTGATAGGGGCTAAGTTAGCCACTTGTCACGCCCTTGGAACTTTAACGCCTAGAACGTGAGGCCTTAGTCGCTTTCTTTGTGATAGCGACCAAGTGCCTGAAAACAATCCAAGCAGAGATGCTAATGATTCCCAACGGAAGAAAAGAAAACAAGAGAACTTGACAAGCACAAGTACAAAGATAAGAGAGAGTGTGAGAGAATGCTCTGTGGTTTCTCAAAATAAAGAAATGAGTACAAATGATGAGGAGAGGCCTCTATTTATAATAGAAGCTCCCCTCAATGAACGACAAAGATCTAAGTACAATGACGGTCCAGATCTATACAATCCCATAATCTAGGGGAATTATATCTACACAATCTCTCTTTCTAAGGAAAGTATATCAAGCTATTGAGAATATGCCTTAAATAGAAGATTACAAGGATTATTGAAAGAATCTGAAGGATCATGCATTAACCAAGTGATCTTATTGCCATAATCGTGCCAAGTTCTTCATCTCCATGGAATGGGCCAGTTTGAATGGATTTGGGAATGCCCAAAATGTCAACCAAGTAGTCTTGGGCTCCTTGTGTTGCGATGACCTTGGCCATGGACTCGCGGTCCGTGACAGTATTGTCGACCAAATAAATTAATGATTAGATAAGTTACATTCTCAATGAAAACATTCATGTGTCAGATTTTTTAAACAAAAATATTAACGGGTTTCGGTGATGAAAATTCTAGTGATAAGTGCGATTATCGATAAGTATCGATAAATTAATTTATAAAACGTTAAAATTATAAAGTATTCTATGTTTATAATTTAGTTGAAAATCTAATTGTAATTTATTTAAAATACAATATTAATTAAATTAATTTTTTAATCTTATATTTTATCATAATCAGATCAAAAGTAACCCTAAATTGAAAAACTTGAATTTGTTTTAAAGCTTTGAACTTTGAACTTCTCGCCATTGTCATTGTCGTCGCTGTCACCACCGGTATCCTCTGTCGCCGTCGATTTAATATTGGATTCATCCCTCCCAACGTGGATGCCATTCACCGTCGTTCGCTCAAACAACCCATGAAGGTAAGCTTGATTAATTTTATTTTGTTGCGAATTTGGACCAAACCGTCACTGGCGGGTGATGGCTCACCGGTTGTCGGTGCCATCACCAGCAATGACTGTGGATGCTGGTGTGAGAGTGCCTTTTAATCATCCTTCCCTAATCCCCTTATTTCTAAACCCTAACCTTAATTTTTCCAATTAATCCAATTATAGAACCTTAATTTCAAAATAGCTTACTAAACAAAAATATTAACGGGTTTCGGTGATGAAAATTCTAGTGATAAGTGCGATTATCGATAAGTATCGATAAATTAATTTATAAAACGTTAAAATTATAAAGTATTCTATGTTTATAATTTAGTTGAAAATCTAATTGTAATTTATTTAAAATACAATATTAATTAAATTAATTTTTTAATCTTATATTTTATCATAATCAGATCAAAAGTAACCCTAAATTGAAAAACTTGAATTTGTTTTAAAGCTTTGAACTTTGAACTTCTCGCCATTGTCATTGTCGTTGCTGTCACCACCGGTATCCTCTGTCGCCGTCGATTTAATATTGGATTCATCCCTCCCAACGTGGATGCCATTCACCGTCGTTCGCTCAAACAACCCATGAAGGTAAGCTTGATTAATTTTATTTTGTTGCGAATTTGGACCAAACCGTCACTGGCGGGTGATGGCTCACCGATTGTCGGTGCCATCACCAGCAATGACTGTGGATGCTGGTGTGAGAGTGCCTTTTAATCATCCTTCCCTAATCCCCTTATTTCTAAACCCTAACCTTAATTTTTCCAATTAATCCAATTATAGAACCTTAATTTCAAAATAGCTTACTATAATTCCCAAATTAGAACCCCACTAATAAGTATTGAACCTTAATTCCTACGTTCGAACCATTTTTTTAAATCTATTCCCGAATTCTCAATTCGAAATTCAAGCAGGTCGTACCGGTACCTTGGCTCAGGTGTACTGATACTCGTGCGACTTTGAATTGGTATAGATCGTGTATCAGTACTATTATTCTACACTATTTTTTTCTGGGGAGTACGTGTACCAATACACTATGATAGTTAATCGATACTATTATTCTACACTGTTTTTGTTCGGGAAGTACGTGTACCAATACACTATAATAGTGTATTGATATTGTTTGTTCGATTCGTACATTTACTGCATTTATAATGCCATTAACCATTTTAATAATGTTACTTTCGTTTATGTTTGAGAAAATACAGATTTTTTCGAGATGGATAATAAAGATACCAAAATATAAAAAGAGTTGGACAAAAATGGATACAACAGTGAATTAGATTGTGCAACTTATACTGAAGAATAACATATTGATTATCTTATTGATGATGAGAAACATATAGAGGGTGAGAAGACAATTGACAACTTCATTGATGAAAGCATATGTGATCAGATTGGGAAGGAATTAAAAGATTACGATGAGAATGATATGAATATGTTGAAGTGGAAAACTTTAGATGATTACATTGAATTTTATCATACTTATGCAAAGGTGAAAGGTTTTGGTGTTCGAGTCGACCAGACAATGAAAAGTCAAAATGGTGGTCACATAATTGTAAAGAAAATTGTGTGCCATAAGGAGAGATATAGATAGGATAGGTGGACTAACTTGCGAAATAGAAAACATGAACAATGATCAGTCATCCGAGTTGGGTGTAGAGCATTTATTAGATTCAAATTTAATGAACAATAACAAATTTGGAAAGTTGGTAAATTACATGTAGAACATAACCATGGAATGGTTCAGCCAACACATGTTGCTTATGTCAGGTATGTAATTAATCCAAAAGTATATTGTTACATATTAACTTCTATATATATATATATATATATATATATATATATATAATGTTCATTAATAACTTATTTTGGAGGTCATTCTGAAAAATTAGTGGGCTAGATAGAATTAAGATTAAGAACATGCACAACTCTGGAATTGGTCCAAGTAAGATGATGTGAAATTTCATGAATGAGGCTGGTTCAATTGAGAATATTGGATTTCTACCAAATGATTTGTACAATTATCTATATAGAATCAAACAATAAGTGCAAGATGGTGATGTTGAAACGATAATGGCATATTTATATGAAAAACAAGAATATGATCCTTTCTTTTTTGTGAAGCACAAGAGGGATGAATTCAGAAACTTAGAAAAGTTATTTTGGACCGATGGTATATCACGCGCAGATAATAAAGAATTTGAGCACGTTCTTGCATTTGATACAACATACAAGTGCAACGTATACAGCAAGTCATTCATTGTTTTGGTTAGTGTTAATCATTATTGAAACACAATGTCATTTGGATGTGCATTGGTTGTGAATAAGAAAGATGATACATATGTGTGGGTGTTGCAACAATTGATTGAAGCTGGAGATGGCCACAGACCTCTTACTGTTATTACTGATAGAGATAAGGCCATGACAAATGCCATTGCTGAAGTACTACGCGGGGTAAAACATATATTGTGTTTATGGCATATAATGAGGAAGGTGCAGTCTTGTACTGATCACAGTTTTCTGGATGGGTTTTTGAGATGTACTGACAAGTGTAGAACTAAATCAGGTTTTGAAAGGGTTTGGAAAGAATTAGTAGGAAAACACAAAGTTCAAGGAAGGAGATGGTTTCAAGAATTGTATGAAGATAAAGAGAAATGGGCAGAAACATATTTGCAAGGATATTTTTATGCAGGTAACATTATATAGACTTGATTTGTATTGAAAATGATATTTATTTATTGTATTTAACAAATATAGATTTTTGTGTACAGTAATGAGGACTAATCAACGGTGCAAGTCAATGAATAGAACATTGAAAACTTGGTTAGACAGAAAGGTAAGGTTGTATCGATTTGTTGAGAACTATCATAAACAACTAAAATCTCTAAGATGGGAGGAAGGTCATCAAGACAACAAAACAAATGATGAACAATCGTATTGTGACGATGTGTTGGCAAGTTTAAAATGTAATGCAGTCCAGGTATATACGAGAAATGCTTTTGTTACACTGTGCAAATAAATGTCATACAAGAGCTATTATTTGGCTAAAAAATGAAACTATGGAATGAGTGCATGTGTTATTAGTTAGAGCATGTTGAAAAGAGAAGTTGTATCTTGTATTAAAGATACCATTTATGATACCATGTACTGTTGCTGTATAAAGTTGGAGTCATTTGGTTTTCCATGTCGTCATATGTTTGACGTGTTGAAATATGAAAAGTCAAAAGAGATACCTCAAGGACGTATAATGAAATTGTAGACTATTTATGTGAAGAAAGATGTTGGATTACAAAATAAGGATGCAGATGTTGAAGATAATAATCCATCAGCAGTTCAAGAAGGTATTCCACTATAACCTCTTATTGTATGATTATATGTCAATGCACATAAAAAAATATTCAAAACTTTCAATGAGGTTAAAGATCAATTTGCAAAATTGAGTCTCAAATTTCAAATGGTGAAAGTAGGAGGTAAAGTGAGAATCGATAAAAGCGGAGAGATTTTTTGAATTGGAGATCATATAGTTCTTGAAATAGGAAGATGAAAGCCCAAGAGAACAAAGCGTCAAGCATCATCGTCCAACCAAATATATGTTTCAAATAATGAAGATGTCAAGTTCGACTTGCATAAAACCTCTTAACCTTCTCCGAACAAGCCTTTTATCAGGCATATTGATGCATTTGAATTAGCTGGATACATGCTAGGCACATATAAAAAAGACGACATATCTGAGGTAATTAAATATGAAATATAACAATGATTACTCTTTGTTATTATGTATTTGTTGTTATGTGTGTTGATAATATTTTTTCGCAAGCTGCATATACTAATAAATTGAAAAATATGGAAAAAAAAAGATCCAACTATTTTGGATTTGCAACCTAATAAGGATTGGTAGTGTTTTGTCTCGTCTAAATAGCTGAGGATAACGAAGGACGGTTGCGGTTATCCTTTTCCATGTCCATCGGAAGAATTATTTTAGTTATGTTATTCTATTCTAGATATACATGCAAGCCATAATAGTCATAAGCAGTGTTAAGTTTTAATCTTTCAAATTGTGTGAAGTTGGTTTTCTACTTAACTTTTATCTTATTTACAGTTACGATGTTTACGGTATTTTGTGATTTTCTTTTCATTGCGTGAAATACGATTATAAAACATATTTGAAACAAATTCAAATTGAATGTTAGAATATAAAAGTTTTTATATGATTTTTAAAAGTAAATAAAATATATAGATGATCACTAAATTGTTTGAAACAACTTCAAATTCAAATATGTTCTGATACGCACCGTGTACAGATACTAATAAATTATGTGAAATTGTAGTGTGTTTCAACGGTATTGATACGCACCGTGTACCAATACTAATAAATTATGTGAAATTGTAGTGTGTTTCAATGGTATTGATACGCACCATGTACCGATACACTGAATTTATTATAATTACAGTGATTTTTGTGTGTATCGATATGTATAGTGTACCGATACGAATTATTAATCGTATCGGTATACGCGGGCCTGATATCTATAAATAGTCTTTTATCCGATTTTTCACAAATTTTATCAAACCCTAACCCTAAAAACACATATTTCTCTAAAAAAAAATCCTCTCATTTATCACTTTACTGATATGATGCGATGTGCGACGTACATCTCTATTTTATTGGCGTGTAGGCTGGGAAATTTTGGTAATTTCCAATGGGGTGTGGGACTGATTTGCACATCCGTCTAGTTATTAGGTATGTCATGGGTTGCAAACTAATTAAAATTGTAACCGTAATAATGTGCCAGTATGACTATTGAGACTAAAATTCAAATTGATTGTAGGATACCAAATTCAATTTATATAAAGATTTTTATTTTAGTTATCTTACTAAAATATTTAATACTCATTATGTCTTCCTATAAATTTTAACTGATAGATTTATGTAACTCGAGAGTTACATCTATAAACAAGTTGTAAATAATCTTGTATGTATATTTATATGATGTCTTAACTATGGAAGATGGTGGCATGTAATTAGGCGTTTTGATAAAGACTATAATAATGTGCTGGCGTGCTTGTCAATGATATGGAATGGGTATTAGTTGAACTTATGTTTGATGTTATGATGTGTATAATTTAGATGTTATGGGTGTGGGTGGGTGACCTTGAATCTATAAGGTAAGTTTGCATGATGATAGGTAGTAAGAACTAGAGATGCACATAGCCGGATTTAAATTTGATCCGGATCGGATAAAAACAGATCCGGTTTTTTCACCAAGCCAAAAAACCGGTTTATAAAAAACCGGTTCGGATCATAATCGGTTTGGAGGGCCGGATGATGTAATCGGTGTAACCGGTTTAGGTTTGAAAAAATCCGGTCATCCAATTTTTTAAACCCCAGACCGGATTTTTTTCGGGATAAAAAATAAGTTTTTTATCCGGTTTTTTTTAAACCGGTTTTTAATCCGGTAAAAAATCCGATCGCCCAATTTTTTCCCAAACCGGTTATATTATCCGGTTTTAAAATATCTGATCCGGTTTAAAAAACCGGTTTTTCCCAAATCCGATTTCGGATATTTTTTACATAAAATCGGATATTCAGATTTTTTGTGCACCTCTAGTAAGAACCAATGGTGTCGATAAGTTGGTAAATAAGCTTATTTGAATGTTGAAAATAATGAAGAAAATCTAATTTATTTCAAATTTATAAAAAAAAATTTACAATTATAATTGTGAATTTTTTAAACCATAAAATTCTTTAATATATAAATCAAATTACTTAATTGAGTGCATATTATAAAAGTGTTAGTCAAGTTACAAATGTGTAACATTTGTTAAATTCATATACCAAATTGAACCAAAAAGACACGTATTGTACAGGGAAAAAGTGTCAAAACCCAAATACTAGAAGATGCATTAAACCTTTATTAGAAAAAAGTTACGTTCTTATAAAAATAAATAAAGGGCAAATACAAATGATCCCTTAATTATAAGGTATTACTTTATCAAGTTATCTACTATTAAAAGTTACAAAAAGATCTTTTAATTATAGAGTGTTGCTTTTTTAAATCTCTCGACTATTAAAAGTTATAAAATTATCATCTGATTATTAATTATATTTTAAACTCGTCATTTTTCGTTAAAAGGATCATGACATTTTGAACTAAATGTTAACCGACTGACTGCTATATGATAAAACATGATCTTAAAATATTAAACAATTATAATATTTCAATCATCATATTAACGTCAAACTCAGGCGACCACCAATTAAACAAAAGATGACAAGTTTAGAATATAATGAATCCTAAGACACTCTTTTCCTCCTTCCGCTGATTGAGAAACACTTAGTGTTCCATTAATCATGAAGAGGGTTTTTAACGAGGCCTACATTCCTATCAAAAAAAAAATAGTCGAATGCCCATTTTGTAACATTTAATAGTCGATAGACTCAGCAAAATAACACTATAGTTAAATGACAATTTTATAGCATTTAACAATCGAATGACTTAATAAAACAATATTACTTTACCCCAAAAAAATGAGTATTTAAAAAAAAGATGCAGTACTTAAAATAAAGTTGAAAAAAGATGGATGATTAGAATTAACGGCGATTTGTTATAATATCTATCATAAATGCGATAATATCTAATAAAGATCATACGGGTAAAAGGAAATCAAATGAGATGAACCATTGTAACATTCATAACAGAGTTACATGAACATACAATTGAAACTCGAGACATGGGATACTCTCTTTTTCCTTCAAATTTAAATCTATTTCTTATTTGAATTCAACAATCAATTCAAAATCCTGACTGCCTCCCCAATCCTATTTCCTAGGGTTCTAAAAGAAATCAGTGAAAAAGAAGAGTTAAAACCAAAACTTACTCAAAAAGAATCAAGTAAAAAAGGAGGAAAATTCACTCTAGGTTAAAAGGAATTTCAAAATGACAAAAATAAGAAAAAACAAGAAACCCTGTAATTTTTTGCTACAAGGAAGTGCAGCTACTAATGTTTTAACGGCTTGTTAGAAATAAGTCGGAAGAATGTTTCACCGAGTAATACATTTACATAGCAAAATACCGGAGCACTGACCTTTGTTGCATTGATGGCAATATTGAGTCTTTTTTGGTCTTTAGAAGACCCAACCATTATGATGACTGCTGATGCTTGAATTCTTGACAATCAGCTCCGACATCGTTGAGAGCCGATAAAAGCTTCGGCACAATCTTGCCTAACATCAACTTGAAACCGACTGAATTGGAGTCTGCATTTTTCGCGTCACTAATGGAGGCGTCCTTTGTTAGAGAGCCGATTAAGTAGCCTTTCATGTATGCATCACAGGCTTTAAGGATGTAATAACCACGTCGTCTGAAATGGTCTTTGACAAGTTCTTCGAAGTCCTAGAGTTAATTATGAAGTTAACCATTTATATCTGGAAAAGATTAAAAAAAAAAGCACGGGAATCCCTACTACCTATAAGATATAATATTAAACACTACTTATGAGAATAAATAGGGGGGTTACACTGTTAATTATGCCCCGGTAAATTTTGTCGGTAGTTCATGATACGGAATTCAGTGAAAAGTCCAGCGAGAACGGAACTTTACCACATGGGCTACTACCTCTTGCATGGTGCATATGCTAGACAATTATTACATATTAAAAAACTACCATGCAAGGCGTCAATAAATCGGCACACAGGAACATTGATAACTTCAGATATCACTTCTAGAAAATAAATATGTTCAATGCTTAAAAACCTCCTACCCTTTTAAAATCTTAGGTGGATAACTACCTATGCACCATGCAAGAGCAACTCAATAACGAGAATGTACAAGTGAAATGGAATAATCACCTTCGGGGGCTTCCGCATTAGATGCATCATTGACTTGCAGTTCAGTAAGAAAGTATTCTCATTGTATGCTAACGAATTTTTCTCTCCTTCAGCTGTCCCAACCTGCTTATCGTACCCAGCTTCATTGAAATATGGCCTAGCATTTAGCACTAACCCTTGCAATGAAACTAGGACTTGAAGGATGCTTGAAGACGATGAATCCCAAACTTCGTTTCCCCTGCCAGTCCATGTGTTTAGAAGGCTAAGGCACACCTTGCCTTCCTCGTATAGATTAGGATTTAGCCTCCAACCACCTGAATGATAGTATGCTGACTGCAGAATCGAACCCAAAGTCAGAAAACCAGTAACATGATTCACTTGTCCTAGGACACGTTAAAGAGAATTCAAGAAGTTCAGAACCCAAATTCTATGAACATTTAAAAGATATAGGAAAACAAACTTCAAGCTTTGAGTATCAAATTTGGGATCATACCGGTGGCACATCAGGATACTCGGGAGGAAGGTGA